TCGTCTCAATTACTCCTAAATGCAATTGTCGTAAAATCTTAGTCATGCCTCCTATCCTTTGCATGGCAACGATCTGTGGGCACTCCAACTACACGTGACTGAAATGACGGTTAATTTGCAATAACAAACTCATCACCGCAAGGAAAACTGCCTTTACTGCACCGACATTCTAAGCGGTCGGTATACCCCAACACAGTATAATTCAATATACCTGCGGTCGGTGTACCCTCCCCCCCTCATCCACAGCCGCGAGATGCCAGCAAGCTAGCTGCTCGTAAAGAATGAATAACAATCAAAAAATTACACCACTCTGATAACCGTAAAAGTTAAAAATTTCTGTATCCTGAAATCAATTAATGAGGGCCGGAAAAAGCTCTTTATGCGGCAATACTCGACATTTCTCATGCCTCTGAAGAAAATCTACCCGTGCGTAGAATATTTCAAATGCCGTATTCCCTGACCAATAATACACATCCAGATTTTGAAACAGAAATTTCAGAAAAATGTTCATGCACTTTATTCTCTCAAATCTACAGGAGAAAAGACTGATCTACGACGAAATAATAAAGTTCATTGATTATACGTCTCGAAAAAAATCCCAGCTGCTACTGTGACGGCATTGTCGCTTTCATGTCTAAATATAGTCAATCACCTTCAGTGGATCTGAATAAGTTGCTAATTACATCTTTCAAAAACGACCTCAATAATCTAGTTTTTTACCTACTTCTAGAAGATGTTCATTCATTCAGAAAACACGAAATCGGGAGTATTTTTAGTCATATGTTTTTTTATCTCATCACGTCATGAAGTTTTTCTACTAATTTTGTCCACCCCTGATGCATGAATAACTAAAAACGGCTAATTAACTAAACCCCACGAGGCTGTAACTGCTTGATCTGCCAACCGGAATCAATGCGGAATGCGGTTTTAGTTCCTTTCATAAATAACATTGATACTGGCTTAGGAAATATTTCTTTTATTTTTCTCATATCGAAAAAATTCTACGACGTACATACTAGAATATCTTTATAATATGGCAAAAATGTTTACTCTCGACGTTTCAGAAACAGCGATTATAGGTAGCTTATGCTCAGAAAATAAGCAACAAAAATCTACAAGAAGGGCTGAAGACCATCTTCAGACTTAATCCAAAAAAGCATTACAAATATAACTGTTTAACTTCTGGAAACAGAACTGTAATAACGGAACCGGAGTTTCTAACAGTCATTAATGTTAACGCCATAACTTTCAAAAAAACATAACGTAACTGCCACGCCGCTGAATCTTAAACCCCTGTAGACAGAAGTTACGAATGACATGTGCGTTGCGAAACAACTACTGCTACTGACAATGCTTCTCCATTTGAACTAAAAATGTTTTTATTTCACAATCATACTACTAAATCATCACTTTCAGGATTATAAATTTATCTACTCTATCTTCCTACAGTTTATAATCTAGCTTTTTATTAACGGTAACTGCAACTTTCTTAGCCAACACGCCAAAATCTTCCAAAGATTATGTTTACGCTCACTTTAAAGTTAGGAGAGAGATAGTTCTTCAACAGCCAAAACTGAACAGGAGACTTCGTGTGCTTCATGACGCTGACCATCATGATTCTACAGAATAAAGAAGTCAGCTACGAAAAACCGATAGGCACTGGGAGACAAATATGAAAATATACCTGATGAATCGTTCATATAAGTGACCGGATGCCAAAGAAAAAATGTTTATGGTGTTTTCCTTTTCTGCCGCATTTCCAGAAAATGTGCTAAAATGGCTGTAGAAAGTTATAAAAACTATAACAAATAACTTCATTAAACTAACAACTCATTGCACTATATAGTCCAGAATGCGAACTAAACTCAACTTAAACTTAGAAGTACTAGAATGAGTCTGCGACTAAATTCAGTTAAGGTTGACGGCTATTAACAAAGGTGTTGGAACTTTCAGCGGAACCGACTTTTCCTCATAATCACCGCTTAAACCAACCAGCCGCTGTAAGTAAAATCGGTCAGTAAGTTTCAATGACCGCCTATCCTTTAGGATCGCAGAGGTAGATGTGTCAGACAGCAATGCCAACGTTCTCGATCTTGAGCCCGGGTTTGCGCTTCGACAGAAGATAACCCCG